TCTTGGACCTGTGATGTTGGAACGACCTAACATTGTGCCCGAATCGACTCGAGATTCCTTAGGGAATAGTTCGTTCAGCAACCTAGCCTCTGATTTGAATCTCAATCGCCTCAGTAACTACTCATTTGGTGAAGAAGATTTGCAAGATGGAGAAGACATCAACGCCATCAGCAATCCGTTTATAGAGAATGATGGCAGCGTGGAAGATGTCAATCAACAAGGTTCACAATCACCGTCCTCTCAAAGACCAAGCAAAAGTAAGCATTTCGATTTTTCGATTTTTGATCTTTTATTGATTGTTTCTCACCTTTCACCTTGATAGGGGCCAAACCACTTTCTAAGTCACCAATCAAGGATGTTTCACGCGACCCTTTAGGTTTACAATCCCTCATGGGGGAAATCTTACCATCAAAACACGAACGAGCCCGGAACGAAAAAAAAGAACATGAGAAAGATAAACGACAGCTCAAGTTGAATCAAAAGATTGCTGAAGCTATCACTGAGATGTCAGCAAATCGTAAGGACGATCTTCAGCTCAAGCGCGAACAACTGAGGGCCGAACTTGCTACGAAATTGATGGATCAGGGAATGACCTTTGATGAGGCATTCAAGAAAGCTCATATGATGTATCCAGATCGACAACAGCCAACACAAGGCAGTAGCCTCAATCAGGATCCTGAGTACTCGAGTGCTAATCCACAATCTTCATCCGAGGAAGACTAGTTCAATTTAGCGACAATCTTTCAATCATCACGCTTGTATTCCTTTTATTTAAGATCGATGTTCTGCTCTTTTAAGCTTTCCTCCTGAAGAGGTTTATCTATTTAATCAGGTACTTGGTGGATCATCGATGGGCTTATGAATATCTGGTTTTATGATATCAAGGTTGTTACTTTTTCTTTCTAAGTTTTTAGATGTTTGATTTACAAAAACCAGTTTTTTATAAATGGTAACGATTTGTAAGATTTGATTTCAAATAAAAAATATCTCAAGTTTTGTTTCATTCCCCTATTCTTTCACTTCAAAAGTGGTATACAGTGAGTTGATATTCCAAGGTTCCACACAGTGCGATATGGAAAGTAAGATAATACTGAGAAATGATATGAAAAATTATTTAAAATCAAAGAGCAAGTTTTGAGATCATGATAGATGAATCAAAACAGTTACTGAATTGAAAGATACAGATTGTGGGGAGATTTGCTAATCCAAAGTGGAGTTAAAGATTTGGAAAAGTTGCTCTCTCCTTTGATGTTCCAAATGTACATTTCCCATTGATGCCAAACGCTCTTCTTCACCACTTGGAGATGGTTCTCGATGCACCTCCCAATCTGCTTCCTGTAGTCCCAAGGGTAAGTTTTCACCTTTACCATGCAGAAAGTTGTGAATGACACAGCATGCGGAAATCCAGGCAGCAGCTCGGCTGGCTGACTTTCTATCCTTAATGACCAGGTGCAAATCCTTCACCGACTGAGTTTGTTCCTTCAGCATTCCATTTGTATGTTCCGAGACGATTCGTTTGACACTTAAGGCATTGTTGAACTTCCTATGTGGCCGATCGAGCTCCCCATTCCTCGGACTTTTAAAGGCAGGAACTATTCGCTTGGAAGCGCTATAGCCTGAGTCAGCGATGAGGTACTCCCCCTTGCTGAAGTAAGACTCTATATTTTTGAAAAACTATGATAAAACATAGTCAGCAACTGATACCCCATTTATTTGAAAAGAACTCACCTCTGTTGATTTCAAGACCCGTTGATCGTGTGCTGAACCACACCAACCATGATGAGCGTAAATGATACGCTTCTGATGATCACAAATAATGAGGGAATTCAGTGCGTAAAAAGACTTTCTACAGTAGTAATCTTCCGGGTTCTTCCGGGGAGCGAATGCAAGTGGAATCAGAGTTCCATCAATAAAACCCACACAATCTTTGAAAAAAGAATGTTCTCCTATCTCTCTTTTGATTTTCCTGCGATCTTCAGATGTTGGCCATTTGATGTACTTTTGTTGAAGATTAAGTAAAGCCCAGATGCAACGGTTCGTATAGTTGTCCACACTTCCCTCTAAAAGATTATTCAGAATGTGATCACCAAACCAAAGAATGATCAATTGTGTTCACCAAAGAATGATCAATTGAAATTACTCACCGGCCATCGAGAATAGTTTGGCAATCACCGGACTTTGTCCACCATTTCCAGACAGGCCAAAATTTGCCATCGCGACTAATAGCTGCCATTGAACAGGAGCTTGATTGCAGTTCGAGTTGTTATGAAAAACACAATCTCCCGAGATCTCGTTCACAAGCAACGTAAAGTTCTCCTTGGACATTCGGGCCTATTGGAGTTGAACATACACACACTTTCAGCAATTCAGGACTTGAAAAAATAAAGTAGATGATGCTCACCACAATAGCCCATGTCCGATCAGACTCGTTGAACCATTCATCGAAGCACGCCTCCTTTTGTCTTCGGCGTGAAAAACGTCCAATTCGAGGTACCAAATACCGTTTGGTATGAACACGATTGATCGTGTATGCCAGAATGGCTAGCATTCCTTTGTCTTCCGATCGTTGACGTTTGCGAGATGTTCGTAAAGAATCCGAATTCACCATACTTGAGAGGAGTAGTTGTGATGCGAGTATCAGGAGTTCATCCCTGAAGGTCTCTTCAGGTGAATCAAGTTGATCTAAGATAATCACAGCCGCCATGATTGCCATGAAGTCACTCTGAGTTGTGCGTGATTGGTGGTTGTGGTGTGCCTGTGCCAGTGAGGCAATCTGAAGAGCAAAAAGTGCCTTCAAGTAGGCCAAGGTGTTGCGACGGAGGGTCGAGGTTGGCATTTGAAGATGGAAAGAGTGTGATGTGGGGTATTTGGGTCTGAAACTTGAATCCCTGACCCGGTAGACCCAGTTACCCTCGATTACCGCCAAAAAATCAACTGGGTCAACCGGGTTTTTCAAAACCGGGTCAACTTTGAGAACGGCTTATACACAACTTTGAGTACCGTAATTGATATTACTTTTTCTGAATCTCGGGTCGGCTATGAGCTCCGAGTTCATCCCGAGTTGTTCTCAGTCACACTTGAGGCTCAGGAGCTCTTGTTGACCTTCGCAACAACAAACCAATTCATCAAACTAATTCATCATCAACTCAAACTTCACTCTAAACTTATTAATATCTATCCAACATCAGTTTATATCATCATCACAATGGCTTCTTCAAACTCATGGCCCCCGCCATTAAAGTACGTTTAGCCGATTTATCTTACTTATCTTTCACTGACTAACCAAACGACTTTCGTACACTCAGGGAATTTGTCAACAAGACCTTTGCGAGGTGCACCGATTCGAACAGAGCTGACGTAGAGGTTGAACTTAAGGGACTTATCTTTGACGCATATAAGGAGGGTAAACTCTGGGAGGTCGATTGGGCTTCTGTACAATTGAACACGTTAGATTCATTTGTTACCTTGTGTTGTACGATGAGTTAGGTACTGATTGCTTTTCGATTCGTAAACAATAGGCTTACTCCTGGAAACAAAAGAAAAGAAAACGCACTAACCTTCACATCTACATCCACAGTCGTCAATGTCGAGGACGAAGATAATCGACGACAGAAACGATTACGCAGGTTTGATAACCCGAATCAAAGTCAGGTTCGAGATGCTACATCTGCTGTTAATGCTATCACCATCTACGACGATGTCACACCCAGTTATAGCCAGGTGACTGAGGATTACCAAAAGGTATGGGACAGCAAGCAACATATGATATCTCCTTTCATGATCTGCCAATGCTCATACCGGCTTCATGGTTCTAGAACATACCAGACTGGGACCAAGACACCATAGTGGGATACGCACAGAGAGTCGAAAAGCCTTATCTGCGCCTGACCGCCGTGAGTCATCGTGGTATACATTCGCTCCTCATGATTCGCTAATAGCACCTTCTGATTGATCACAAAATTAGGCACCCAATCCAGCAGAAGTTAGACCTCTAGAGGTGTGTAAACTAACCCTTGATCACTTGAAGAACAAGTGGCGTTCGGAAAGCAACTATAACTGGATTTGCGATCAATTCAAAAGCCTAAGGCAAGATTTGACTGTACGTGTGCTCACTTTTTTCCAACTTATTCCGGCGCTCTTGCCTTGACACTTGTCTCGTTTCATTGATATCTAGGTGCAGCGCATCAAGAATGACTTCACAGTCTCAGTCTACGAGAATCATGCTAGGATCGCATTGGAAAAGGTGGGCATTTTGCCCTCTCCATGAACAGAAATGTACTGACTCGGTTCGATTTCTCAGTCTGATCTAGGGGAATTCAATCAATGCACTAGTCAGCTTCGACAGCTTTACAAACAAGGTATTAAAGGTCATCAAGAAGAGTTTTTAGCATACTATATCCTCTATCTCATCTACTCGCGGAATTTTAGTGGTAGGTTTCGCTACGATCTCTTTTTGGAAGAGTCAACTAACCATTGTCCGTGCAAATGTCCCTCGTGGGAATGCAGAACTCAACGCGGTCCTAGCCACTATAACGGATGAACAGAAGAAGGACGTTTGCGTTAAGCACGCCCTTCAAGTCCGATTTGCGGTCTCGACAGCTAACTACCGACGCTTTTTCCAACTGTTTTGTCAAGCGCCCAAGATGGGCGGATATTTAATGGATTGTTTTGTTGAGCGTGAACGCATTAGGGCCTTAGCCACGATGGCTGTAGCGTAAGTCTTGTTCCTACCATGTAAAATTGAGCGGATGCACAAACTGACTGAGGTTCTCTCATTGATTTCAGATTCTGGACTTTGCCTATCTCGTTTGTAACAAAACAACTAGCTTTCGACACTGAAGAAGAATGTCGAAGGTTTCTACAACGTCATAACGCGTTGTATTATCATGACGATCAACAAAAAGCCTGGAATGCCAAGTCTGCTAAAGATGCCTTACAACAAGCTGCACTGAAGACTCGGAGAGTTGATATCAAGGGTCAACTTTAGGATTTTCGACGAAGCAAAATTGTGTACTTCAGCCTTGCCAAAGTTTCTTACCTACCAGGCCGAATTATCAACTTTGGGTTCCAGACTCGAGTTTTCTTATGGACGTAGCGTTTACCCGGTGGTCATCGACTCTACCGCATTTTTTGTCAGGCCAGACACGACATCTTGACGTTTTCTTTATCATTGTCTACTTCTCACTCGTCTCTTTTACTGGTTACTTGTCCTTTTGATTGGTTATTTTTCTATCGATGGTATTTTAAATTACGGTCCCGCGCACTGGCGAAACGACGTGACCTCTTCTCAGCTCTATTTAACAGCGTTATTCTAAGTCTAGAGAGTCTCGGCCAGGCGTTTATCACATGCAACTTTCCGAAGACGATCTTGAGCGATATGTTTAAAAGATCACACCTAACCTTTTTGCTTCCTTTTCTTCACCGACGGTGTTCATCAAGGGTTGGGTTTATGAATGCAAGCATTCAACATGTTCTACCGATTTCCGAACTTTGCTTTCAATATTTCGACATACCTTCATCGATATACAGGCTCATATCAATTCGTAATCTTTCTGTCATATGAAGAACAACAACTCATATCTTCAGTCGGCCGTTCTTCATCATTGGCTTCCTTGCCCCTCCTTGTTTTATTTCTTTCTCATGAACCCAATTTCATCATCTTCCATTCTACTGACCCTTTACTTCTTTCAGGTACATCGTTTGACTATTCAAGATCTACAGTCCGTTCCCATCAAAATCATTTCGATTTTGAGCATCATTAAACGGCCATCAAATTTTCCATCTGGACCAACGAACTAGTTACTATCAACTGCGTCTCGGCCAATAATGACACTTAACTCGGTATATATATTGCTCAAGTCTAATCATGTCACTAACGTTCATCGATGGTAATCACTCTTGAAGAATTTTACCTCACACAACACCAAAGTGATGATTTATTTACCCGTACTGTTAAAACTCCAATAGCTATAAAAAGTATATTGATTGAAGGTTTAGTGTTCATTGTTTGGGGTATGGTTTGAATTTTTTTGTTTAGAATTATTGTATTTTCAATCTTTTAAACTGTATGAAGACTTGTCTTGGTATCCCGAAAAAAATCGTCTTTCTTTTCTTCTTTTCAGTTCAATTTGACAACTTGATTAATTTTTTTGATTGAAAGGTTGGTGAGAATTCATGATATCGAAAAAGGAGGTTTGTTGAGATTGTTCTATAACAGAGTTTTAATCTCTCAGGGTAAGATTATATAATACAATATGGGTGAATGGGAAAAATGATTCAAGTTTTTTGAGAGTAGAGAACAGTATAAAATCGTTCATATCATTTCCCATGCGAGAAAGGAATAACAAATACACAGTCTAGAAAAACAAAATGTGATTGTTTATATCATATGAGAACAACAACAAGGCTTAAGATCAATGAGTAAAAAAATCGAAGGATCCCTGGATAGATATATGAAACAAAGTGTTTTGCAAGAAAGACATGAATGGTGATGAAAAAAAGTATGAAAAACAAGGGAAGAAATGAAAAGTGATGATCATTTTTGAATTCCAAATCCTCTTGGTCCTGGATTACCAATTCCACCTGCACATTTAAACAAAAGAAATCAATTTGATCAGTTTCTTTTTCCTTTTTGAGCTTCTGAGAGTCTTGAAACCATATCTTAAAATAAAGCTTTAAAGCTTTTTCTCACTCAGGCTTTTTTTCATTGTGTTGAATTTGAAAAGAGAAAGTCTAGAAGATACAAAAGTTTTTAAGAAAGAAACTAACCTATTCCAAAGAAATTGAATAGTATCCATTTAATCCTTTGAGGTCTAACTAAATGAAAAATGATTAAATAAAATATCATTTCAACATATCTACCCGCAAAAAAAATTCATTAGTATTAGCTTTTTTGTAACCAAAGATTAGAAATGAAGAAAGACTCACGTGAAAAAATCAAAAGCGTCTGTTGGTGCACTTGATTTCAAGTATCTAATTACATCTACCCATAATCTCATATGATGAGCTAATTATCACAAAAGAATTTTGTAAAATTCATGATTAGTTAAGTTTTATTAAACTTGAAAAGAAGTAAAAAGTGAATGATTCACGTTGTGGTGCTAGTTGAGGTTCAACTAAAAACATTAATAAGATTCTAGTATAAATTCCTAAAAAAGAAAAGAAAAAAGCACATCAGAAAAACCTAAACCAACTAAACCAAAAAAGAAGTATTTTTGTAATACGTACCAATGTGAAAATGTCCAACTGTGCCAATCGCATCTTTATAAACCGAATTTGTAAACAAAACTGTATGATCATTTACCGAAAAGTTTAGTAAGAATAATGAAGGTGGTTCATAACCTTTTGGAAATAAAGAATTAGGTAAGAAATCCATCTTTGGTCTTTCAAATCCAGTTGCCTAATGTAATTTTTCGAAAAACAAAAGATTTAGAAAAGTTTAAAAAGTTTTTGCTTTTTCGATTGTTTGACTTACATCTATTATTAGATCTGCTTTTAGTTGGATTGGTTCGGTTTGATTGTGTGGTACGATTTCCAATCCATCACTCACAAATCTTGCGACCTAAACCAAAAGAAACAAAAAGATCAACAAATAAGCCTCCATCCAAAAAGTTATTCTCAAGACTTCAATCCTCCAGAAATCCTCACATTTCCACGTAAATAATCCGCAGATCCATCTCTAATAAGATCCAAGAATTTGTTATTCACAATCGGAGTAGATTGATCAAGTCCAATTCCATTTTTTTTCAAATCAGGTGCAATCTTTCTAAGATCACCATAATGAAAACGTTTGATAAGTTCTTCATAACTTCTACTGATCTTTGATGATCAACCCCATGGTGCAACAGTAATCATAACCAATGGAATCAAACCACGAGGAATGATCCACTTTTGTTTTCGAAAAAAGAAAAATCCATTCAAAAATCAGTCCTAATAAAATCAACCAAACTCTTCAATTTTAAAAAAATACATTACTTTATCATTCCTAGCAATCATAGTCACTTTCCTTGCACCTCTCCTAACCACAAGTTCAACAGCTTCAACCGCACTTGCACCACTACCAATGACAACCACTTCATCAGGATGAGCAACGACATCAAGTTGTGAAGAATGTAAAACCGATCCATGAAAATCTTGTTGAGAAACCCATTGACGTTGATACGGTTTATCACATGTTCCTATGGCTATGATTAGACTATCGAATAATCCTTCGGTTCCTTGGTCGATTTTCCAGACCGTCTTTCCTGAGATTTTGTAACTTTCAATCGACTGAACTTCGTACTGTTTTGTGTGGTTTTTGGATCAGTTTTTTTACTGAGAGTTTGGAGATTGGAAGGTGTCAGAAGATGGGTTGGCTTACGTTGAATCTTGTTGATGATTGTAATTCATATCTTTTCCAAAGTGAATCAACTTGATTTAAAATCTCGGCCTATGCAAAAGAAAGAAAAGAAGATTGAAGTTAGTTTTACATTCTTGATTTTGATGAAAAAAAAAATGATGGATAAGTAGATAAAGCTTAACTTGTTTTGGAAATGATCTTGACCAAAGAACAGATGGATGAAACCTATATAACCAAGAATTAAGTTGTAAACTTGAAGTTCTATATAAGCCAAAACAAAAAACCACCCAACCAAAAAAAAAAGAATCATGTCAGTCTTTCATAGTTTATCAAAAGTTTTACAATATTATAGCAAAAAACTTTAAAGTATTTGTTTTTAAAATTCTGGTTTTTTAAGAACATATTTATCATGCAATATTTTATTCGAAATATGTACCACTCCTTTGCATACATATATATCTTGCATCCATCCAAATATACAGCACTCAACCCGTTACGATTCCAACCCAAAAAAGAAACTTGAACGCAAAAAAAAGAAGAAAAAGAAAAAAAAAGACAAACGAATTAACGTCATTCCAAACCCCACCAGTCCTATCTTTTTTTTCAAATAAGACGACCTCAAATCCATTAGCAACACAATGAGCCGCGGAAGCGACCCCAGTGATCCCTGCACCAATAATTGCAATCCTACCTAACGAAGGTTTTTGATGATTTGATGAGTTTGGTAAAGGTGTTGAAAAGATTGAGGTGATTAAAGATTGGATGTAGAGTGAGATCGAATTAGAAGAAGAAGATGGTAATGGAGGTAATGGAGTCGGAGGGATTGTTGGATGAGAATTCCTTGGATTATCTGTGTTTGGATTTATAAAGCGGTTAAGGAAATGTAAGTTGGTTATTTTACTTTGGATATGTGCTACTTAGGCCAACTGTGATGGTTTGATTTACCTTCGATTGGAGGAGTAGGTACACGAGCCATTTTGTTGATGGATTCTATGAACACACAATGAGCGTGTTCAAGTGCTTTGCTTTTTTTTGCAGCTCTAGTGTGATTGAATAAGTTGCAAAGGGTTATAGTTCAGAATACAATTTCAAGAAGACGCGATGATGATTGGAGAATGGATGATTGAGTAAGAAGAGATATAAGATCACCAAAAAAAAAGTTGAGTATGATAGATATCCAAGAATTCCAAAAACTCTAGATCTTAAACGCTTTATGATAAATGTATTTATAAAAATCTAATGGAGATGAAATACTTGAAGATGAAGTTCATGAAGCAGAAGGAGGGAGACTTGTACTAAAAAGTTTATTAAAACTGAAAAACTTAAAAAGTAGTTTGATCGGAGTTTAGACTTTAGGAAATCGAAGTACTGAGAGTTTAAAGAAATATCGCAATACAAATCTTGTAAAGCACCGAAGAAGTTTTGATAATATGTTTTTGAATACATATATTCGGAGCTTTGAGTGCCGATGTTGGTTTACAAGTTGGTTTTGTGGGACAGGTTTGGTGAGGATCGAGATGCAGGGAAGACCCTGTGATTCGTGATTCGTGATTGGTGATTCGTGACGGTAAAGTGTGAGCTTGGTTTTTGCTCAAGTCTCAAGGGGAGACCGAAGATGGAATTTAATCACACCCTCTCTTGAAGATTCAATCTTTCGGTCGGTGTCAAGCTTTATTGATGATGTACATACATATCTGTTTTTTTTTGCCTCATTGGGAGAAATTCGGTCATCGATTTGCTGCAACGGATGGATCGTTCGACTGGTCAGCTGGTCTGGTGTACTGCGCCTACTAGGTGAGTGGAGCTAAAAGCTTGTCACTGTCACTGTCACTGTCAGTTATGAAGTTCAGTCTTCAGACCAGAAAAGAACTTCAGAGCTTTAAAACTTAAGAATATTAAACCAATCGATCGAAGTTCTTTGAGATCCTCTACTCAAGAATCAAGCACACACTCAGGTCTTCAATGGTGTCGATCTGTGGGTACGAATCGACTGATGACAAATGAACCCAATCATTGAGGACTGAAAAGATTGGTTTGGACCAGACACATGAAATTTGGTTTCATAAAAGGTCGAAACCAAGTTTGATGAAGATATCTAAAGATCAAAACTCATGTATTCAATCTTTAGCGTAACATATTCACCAAATTTGTAAATTAAATTTCTTCATCTCTCTTACAAGTAAAAAAGTTGTGATAAGGTGTGATAAGGTTGTCTTCTGCCACACAAGCAAGAAGCACAAGAAAGACAAAGTCGGTCGGAGTTTTGATACATGTACAGATAATTTTGAGGCTGATGGATGTTTTGTTTGGAAGATGTGTAGTAGTACGGATGGATGAGAGAAGTCGGTCGGGAAGATGAAATTGAGCAAATGACTACCTTAACCGTTCGGCGTTTGATAAGGTCTGCATTCGGTTCAACTTACAATGGGCGCATGAAGAGTCAAGAGGGAGATTGTTTGTTAAATTAATGATTCGGTGATTAAAAATCATTTGAGATCACCTTCTTCTGAATCTTCTTCAAGAGTTTATCTTGAGGGAGCTTGAGGGTTCATGATATGAGTCAAACTCCGACCATTCATTAAGGACCAGGCGCAGAAACCCAGCGTCTCTCGTCTCCTTATCTTGTTTTCTACTATCAGAGGTGATTTTGACTTGGGGATCACCGCCTTCGTTCCTCTGGAGTGACAGGCCACTGGCCTAACTTGACACAAGTCCCAATTCTCGCAGGGGCTTTCTTACCTTGCAAGCTCGGTGCCCTGGAGAGGGACTTGCGAATTATCGGCTGTTTTTGGTGTACCAGCAGGGACCCAAAAGGCCCTACTCTTCTACAATCTTGCATCTGCTGTAGTTTGTGCAACACACAATTTCTGAGTAGACCAAAATCTGCAGGACGTCAAGATGGACAACCTCGGTCTTTGAACAAAGTTAACCAATTGAGTATTGATCCTCTTGGAAGAGAAATAAGAATGGGTTATTCAGATCGTTCTTAAATTTTGTTTTAAAGGTACAGTCACGAAATTCGAAATTTCAAAATCTTTCTTTCATTTTTAAGAGAGGTCAGAGTGAGATACAAGAAATCTGAATAGACAGATCTGAAGGCAGTGGTCACGAGTATATCCAGTTCAAATGAGCGCGGGGGTTGATCAAGAGGAAGTGGGTGTTTTTTTGTTTTGAAAAAACCTCTCCGCCAAACTTTCATTTTAAAGGCCCTGCCGACACACTGGGGAAGGCCGATAATTCCTGAGTCCCTCTCCCAGACACCGAGCTTGTGAGGAAAAAGTGTCTGGGCCAGAGGGACGTAGTTAAGTTAGGCCACTGGCTGTCACCTGTCTTACCTATCTATTCCCATGCACCACTTCCAGATGTCACAATAGTGGACACTTGATACTGGTGAGTTCTTTCCAATTGGCATCGAATCCGAAATGATCACTCATTGACTGACCCCTTGACAACCCCACCTTCTTGCATGAATGGGCTCCCTTCTATTCCATCCGAACGGACTTCCTGTCTCTAGGTTGCCGGCTTTATTCAACTCAACACTTATCTTTTCTTGGTGGTACCTCTACCAGTGCGGAGAACTTCGCGATGTCCTTCAGTACTTGACCTGGATTGAACATTTGGGAGGTGATCCTCTACCCGACCTCTCGGTGTCAGGGTGGCTAGTTCAATGACGTACAGATTGGTCTAGTCAATCAACCCGTACTGAGGTCCTGACAAGTTATTCCGCTGGTTACGAGGAATAATCAAGCTTCTCATTTTGTCAAAAGTCTATCAGAGGAAGGATGGAAGTCGATCAGTAAGTCATTACACTTTAATTTTCCTGGACGAGGCAACTAAGACTACGGGCCCACTGTTTAGCTAACAGGAGATGGCTGGTCTAGCCTGAGCCGTAGTTTATTCTCAAAACTTCAAAGTTATTGAGCAGCCCAAGATATGAATCTACGGGGATTTTGTCGACACAAGTGCCACAGAATCTGGGTCCTTGACCAGGGGATAATAAAGAAGGTGACTAACCAGATATTTATACGACTGATAGGTTTCTTTGGTTTTTGGTAGAAGTTATGGAAGAAACGTGGACACTGATTTTAGGATTTATTTTGAAGAAATTACTAGTAAAGTTATTCTTTGGGAATTCTCTTTTAAAAGTGAATCTATTCAAAAAAAGTATCTAATCTTCTATTTCTTAGATAGTAATCTAAACAGAAAGTTATTGGGGTAAAATCAGGTGCCCTTTTTGTTCTCTGGTCAAGAGGAGGAGTATTTATACCTTTTGTCCCTCTGGTTAGTCTATGCTTTGTGTTTTAAGCTGCTCTCCTTTTCTTGATAGTAGCTAGAACAGTTACTGAATGGTACTCTATGTTTTCTTACGTACTTTCAACAGCCTCGCCCGGATCTATGAGGAGATACGCCGTCCTATTATGTACGAAGGCGTCTTCAATCTCTTGTTCCGTTTCTTGGAATTCCTCAAAATCTTATTCATCTCATCTCGTGGTCGATGTTAGCTTGTGAGTCATTCCTTATTTCTTATTCAATCCTCCTTGGCTGGATGAGTTTCTCTTTCTTATTGTGATAGTATGGTCATTCTAGTGCTTACTCTGTTACATCTATCTTTCGTTAGTGTGATGGTATTTCCATCCTGGTTCTCTTTAATATGGTACTAGAACGTCATTATTTATTCTTTAGATAATCTTTAACTGGTCCAGGGAATATTATTCCTTATTCTTTTTCTATATGAATAGACTTTTGATACTAAGTCTTAAAGGTGTAATTATCTTTATATATATTTGTTCTTCTTCAACTACTTGAAGTTTTTAGCACTCTTGGGCTATCACAGCCTTTGAAACTAGGTCTGGAAGTTGTGTTTATTAGGGTGAGGTTATTATAACAACTTGAAATGAAATATAATTTTTTGTGTTTTATTTCTTATAAAATATTTGTAGCTCTTTGGTTCTTATGTGTGAGAGCTCGGGAGCTGACACTCGACAAGAGAAGTTGATTTGGAGACTTGGCACCCACAAGTCTCCAAGCTTACCACAAGGTTTTATCCAGATGAGTATCTGGAAATTCACCACCAGGGTGGGTTTCCGGACTCGATCTTACTGCCTAACCGTGCTAGAGAGGTTGGTAGTACCGCTCTCGCCATCTATATGGCCCGGCTAGCTACGCCATCTCAATACTTCGACCTTTCTCAAGTTTCCGGCGGCAACCTTTCTACAATCGGTCGGATCTGTCATTGGGTCCAAGCTTGGATCTACGACAACTGGGGACACCTCTTGCAATGGGATGCGCGATGTTATACTCCTGCCGTATTGGAAGGGTTTGCGGCAAGTTTGGTGGAGGCTAAGAATTGTCCCATGGACAATTGTACTGGGTTTTTAGATGGTTAGTGCATTTGCTCTACACCAATGGATGTTAGCTTTGGTCTGAAAGTTTACTACATCCAGCCTCAGGAACTGTGTGGCAAATTGCACGTCCTAAGTACAACCAGTGTGTGTTTTATAATGGGCACAAGCGGGTTCACAGCGTATCAAAATTCCGCTGTAATGCTCACTCCTTATGGCGGGGTCAATCTGGCTCCGGATCAAGCTTGGTTCAATCAAGTCATGGCAAGGGTGCGAATTGCGGTGGAACACAAATTTGGTCGGCTCCATAACATTTTCAGGATGTCTCAGTACAAAGGTGAGTTGCCTGCAATGTGAGGACATTGTAACATGTGATAGACTAATTCTAAATACATATCTGGGGTGGATTATCTAGATAACCTCAGGTTCTATGTCAATGAATTGAACCCTTTGTACCACTGCGCGGTCATACTAAATTTTTTTTTGATATGTTGTGGACGAGGGCCACTTGGAGGTGTAGCAGCTCCCCCTACTTTGGAGGCTTATTTGGCCCTGCGCCCAGCGGTGCCTGTATAAGCGGAATAACTCTTTCCGGGGGTTTGAAATCGTTTGAATCTATGTGTAGAACAGGAGGTTAGGTTGTAGTTTCTGGTACTTGGTGTGGTGGTTTGAAATGAAATTCAAACCAATGGTTGTTTATGATCAAACTCACACGTCCCAAAGTTCACAAGAACTGATTCGCGCCACCTGGTCTGTTTTCCAACAGACCAGGTGGCGCGGCTCACCAATGGTTGAGATCATCAGTGAAACTTGTGAGAAATCGGGTTGGTAAAACAAGAACAATATTGTCATCATCATCTTTCTTGACAATGACAATATCACCACTCATCCACCCTTTTGTTTCCCCAATCTGGAGCCTGAAGCTTGATCTTTTTGGTTTTGAGTTGATCGTAATATCAATGTAATTGACATCAGGATCTTACTTGATCAACATAACCTTTGGAATTGCCTTGGTTTGCTTTGTCTCGCGTACGACTCATCAATATATGTAAAACTTCTCATGCTACATAACCATGGTGGAATGGTTATGTGACAAATGGTTGGTTACATCAAAGTGCTGGCCTGGTGTACTTGGATGTGATTCCTTCAAGCGACGAATTCACTGGCTTCTTTGAAAGCCAACAAAGATTTACTGGTGACATTTCATTTCTATACATAGCTCTGGTGAAGACTTTGGCGCAAAAATGTTATCAGAGAGGGTCGATGAAATTGAAACACCAACTTAAAAGTCATTTGTTTTCATGGGAACAATATAGTAGAAGGAAGCGCACTCCAAAAGACATGAGTGCTCAATCAATAATTGATAACATTAATAATAACAAAACAGGTTCTGTTATGACTCGACAGGGAATGACAACTAGAAAACTTTTGGAAAGGGGGAAACCATTGTAAGATGTGACAAAAACTATTTAAAACTTCATTTGGACCAAGTGATGTCAACATGCAATCAAACAGGTGAGAAGTCGATTTGAAAGTGGTAGAGATTAGGAACTGGCTGGGGAGGACAAATGCGGTGGTCAGTACCTTTGTAAAGTCTGATGAATCATGTCATAAGCTGTAGGCCTACCAAGTCAGAAAGCTCAACTTGAGCCTTGAGCAGCAGGGATGTGTTCGGCTAAAAGCTTCAGTACCAAGCCCATCTCATTGAGACTGCCTTGAACACTAGCCACGGACGTCTTACTTGTCAATCTGTCTACCATTGGTTTTCTTATCTTTGCGGGCGTCTTCTAGCTCATCACGTTGCAACCTCACTGCCAACATATTTGGCTCGGATACTTGAATCCGAGGAGTCCTCGGATCATGTGTCCGAGATTTCCACCGACTTATGTCAACCGACATAGCACCGACTTGATCAGACCAGGACCCTGGAAAGCTCCTGGAGAACAAACCGTCCTGAGGGGGTTTTCGGATACCGGTGTTTTGTGAAGTCATGTCACATGGTACCAGAGATGTGACAGGTGCAAAAGATGCGCCTCAACGAGGGCTATCAGATGGTACACATGTCTGACCCTGAACATGACTGGTGGCTTGGGAAATGTGTGATTTGTAACTTTTGCCCCCCCAGACCGACGAAAATCCATACCGGCTCGGGTCGGGTACTTACATACGGATATCTCGGTGATTACACGTGGTACAGAACTGAAAGTATATGTAATCGAGAGCCCTGATCAAGGCGCTTCTCCTACCACCGAGAAATCCATGTTAACCCACCTCTCCTCGGGGCAAATAGTGAAAGTGTGAGGGCCGGGGCCGGAATGGATCGAGGACGGTTTGTTCTCCAGGAGCTTTCCGGGGTCCTATCAGACCGACTTAACCAGCCCAACTTAATCATCCGACGATTAACCGAGGCTATTCCAAGCCGATATATACTCCGACTAAATCTAACCAACCATTCTGCGACCTAATCACCGATTCAATTCCCTCATCCGAATCAACCCCACCGAGTTATCAACTGGCCGAGAATTTCGATCTCCAAGTCATGAAGGTAAGGATAATTTGAATCCCATGGTTAGTTATCTCGGCAGCAATAGTTCTAATCGACTTAATGCTCTCTTTAACCGAGGTTTCATAGCTCAAATCCGACCTAATCAATCTTTCCACCGACCCAACTATACACCTCACCGACCCAAGATCATCTTCGTCCGAGTCAAATCAAACAGAATTATCAGACTAAAGTAAGCCCTGTATTTAATCACTTTGCTGAGTATCTTACAAACTGACTTTCAATTGCCAGACCTCATCCTTAACACCTGAAAGGAAGCATTGAACAACATTTCACGATTGTACCAGGTACTACACACTGATCATGTGGATAGCATCCAATCCGCCGATGTTACCCCTTCACCCGTTTCTCAAGAGCACAATCTAATGCTTCGACCACGAGAATCTATGCAGAGAATTTACCAAACTCATCTCAATACATTTAAATGGTATTCCTGTTAGAGCTTCCAATGGGAAAGATGCGTCTGAAGGAGTTCTCAACACCTTGAGTTGATGTGGGAGCGGAATACAAAACCGATGCACATAGGCATGATCACCATCAACGTGGTTTCAATGAAACTTATCCGACTTCTCATTTTACTAAATTGTCTTCTACTGGATTGATTTATAAGTAAGTCTTCAGATTCTAAAAGCTATTTACTTAAAATTTGATGTGACCTTACATAGTATTGATAGGTATGTGTTTTTAGATACTCTGGCAAACAAATTATTGCTACACATTTGAAACTTGAATCAGATGACAAATCATTACCCATTTTGATGGCCAAAATGTATGATGATTTTGTAGAAGCTATTGATGGGGTTGACAATGTTAGTTTTGACGCCAGATATCCAATTGACTGGAATTGTAATTTATATTTAATAAAAACCCAACTCGCTGATTCAATTGTAGGGAATCACTCAGTATGAAGCTGTTAATCCGGGTGGTAAACCTGCTGAAGTTAAAGTTTGAAAGAAGTATAGGAGCAGTACAAGCTTGAGCAATCGGATCTCTTGGTTTAGTAGATTTCCATTTTTGGAATCAAGGAACATTCATTGAATTAGCTGGTTCATTCATTTCATCTTTTCTCGGTCTTAGCTGAATCCATATTGGAACGAACCCAGTAATTTGAATATATTAGACGTCAGTATCGTCCCAAATACTAAGTACTTTTACATTGCTTGATAATTTCTCTCATTCTCTCAGATAATTATAGGTCAAGTTTGAAATAGTTTCCGAATTGGCCAGTTCCGAATTGTATGAACATCTTGACTATTACGCTAAATCTTGATTCCCAGGTCAAGATTTAGTGGTCAAGGCTTGCAAAGATTGGTTTACTAACAATGTTCAAGTGCCACAAAGTAGTGTGCTGGTTTTTGAATACTTGTAGTGCTATCATGGTACATATTTAGTAGTACTATCATAGTACTTATTGAGTAGTACTACTGCAGTACTACCAGTAGTAGTACTATCATATTTCATAGTAATATTGGCACTCGCAGTGGCACCAGTAACCTCAGTGACATTGGTATTGTCTGTACTATTGTAGTAATGGTAGTACTATTGGTCTTATCAGTGGCACTGGGAACAAAGGGTTGTTGGTATTAAGAGTGTCACTCGTGAAGAATTGAGTTGTGTAGTATTATGTTGTGAGGTGTGATCTTTTTCTCAAACATCATGTTCTCAATGATCTTATTACTATAGTCACTTACTCCTATCAAAACTTGCAATTTGCCCAAACAACAATTGTATTCTCATGTCAATAAAATCTCAGATGATGTCCATGGTTGATTTGTGATCTGGTTTGATCTTACCACTCTGGTTCAATTTATTGATACTGTCGTTCTCAAAAAGCTTGTCCAAGTTTTCCCGCCAAATCGCTCGAGTTTTGCGGGAAAACTCGGACAAGCTTTTTGAGAACGACAGTACAACAGCTACTATTGAAGATAAAGGATCTTATCAAAATTCAACTGACACTAGCATGCCAGCGGCGCGCGCTCATCAATTGATCTGACTACAATAACTACAAATTGAATGATCAAATAAAATACTTTTAGCGCGTAGTGCGACCTATAATCGTCCAAAAACCCGTGCGCCAAAGCATAAAAAGAAAAAAACCATTGAAGGGTCAAGTCAATAAAAGCAAGCAAATCACAATCAAAGACAACCACAACAACACAGACCACAATATAGTAAAAACAAAAGCACAGATAGTGTAGTGCAAAAGAAAAATATATCAATCAGCAGATTTAACACTAAGCCCATGACACACACTGAAGAACAAGAGACATAACCACAACACCAGACCAATGTTCAATATCTGAACAACAAAAGAAGCCTCCTACAAAATAAAATAGGCAAATGTGCCACTTCAACACTGTACACATAACAAGAAATTTTTCATACATCCAAAGAAACATATTTTATGTCAAAGTCCTGAAAGCCTCCACTAATTCATCATCCTGCATAGACATTTCAAGATGAAAATGCTATAGCTTTCAAATTGGGTGGTTAACCTACTGTTACATATTCAAACAATCCTAAAAGTCTTTTCCAATAAGGATCAACATGACAATAGATAGTGATGAGGACTACCATAGTTTGAAAAATTGGCATTTGCAACCAAGTGTATCTTTCAGGTGTAGAATTGCACACCAGGCAATATCTCACTTGCAAATCAGCAAAGTTGTAATTGAGGACATCAACTGAAAGTCTAGCTGGGACAGGATCAACAAAGCCTGCTTGTAGGGAATGCTTTAAAGTCTGCAAAATATGTCCAGCTAGATCCAACCACCAGTGATTATCAGTTCAAGTAATATGATGTTTCTGACCTCAGTTGCACAAAGATTGACAAAATCCCAAACATTGCTGCTGTATAAAACTAACCACAGGTGAAGCCAGTTGGGTGGAGGCACCACACTCCACATTCAAGGATGATGATGATGCACAGTGGATTGGTAGGGATTCCAAATTAGTTTTTGAGTTGAGTAGATGCATTAAAGATTTTGAATTATTTGAGTATTGCAATATTTTCTGCCAACAATCCCCGAGACCTTGAGGCATTTGATACAACCAATTCTGTCACACAGAACACAAGAGAAACAAACTGCACAAATGAAAAATTAAGATCTTTGAAGTGCTGACCACAAAGAGCAATGATTTCTGCCATCATGTCTATGCAAATGGAGGACAGATCCAATAAGCTTTCTGGAAAAGGCAGATGGCCCTGAACATAATTTTTGTCCCCAACCAATAAAACCTCCTTGAGCTGCTCAGACACAAACTACATACCAGTGAAACAAATGCTTTGCACAGCAGAAAAAGTAGTAATCCGGAGTGAATCCCTCTAAGACAGCAGCAGGACTTCAAACATCACAGGAGTACACAAATATAAAGATTCATAAACAAACAGAAAAATCACTGCACTGCAAGATTTGGACAACAAACGCAAGAAAGTATGTGCTTCAAAGGTATCAAATGTAAAATGCGGTCATTCTACACCAGGAAAGCTGATGATAATACATAAAAAACTTCCATGACATGCAATACACACAATAGATGCAAGCCATGCCAGACATACAATATATTATGTATACAATATACAAAAAATTCCAGACATAACAGACATACAATATATACAATATATTTCAAGAACAAGCAAGTTGTTGTAGAGTAAAATTATGTAAAAGAAGCCAATCTGAAACCCCCTAACATACACTGACATTCAATCAATGACATGCATTACATTTACAATACAATACAATACAATACAATACAATACAATACAATACAATACAATACAATACAATACAATACAATACAATACAATACAA